AGAGGCGAGGCCAGGCAGGTCCGCACACTATGCGGTCTGCAGACACTGCCCCCACAACTCCCATTAGCCACTGTTCTCGGCCAATAGGAGCTGCAGAGCCGGCGCTTAGGGCAAGGGCAGTGTGTGGAGCCCCCTGTCTGCCCCTATGCATAGGAGCTGGGGGGGGGGGGCGGAGATGGGGGACACATGCTGCTGCTTCTGGGAGCCGTGCGGAGCCTCGGCAGGCAGGGAGCCTGCCATAGCCCTGCTGCACCGCCGACCGGACTGTTAAAGTGATCAGCGGCGCTGACCACAGCCGCCAGGGTCCCTTTTCGACTGGGCGTTCTGGTCGAAAACCGGACACCTGGCAATCCTACCCCAAACAGTTACTGCCTGGAAGGCTGCTGGTGTTCAGTGATTCAGCTGAGGTTTAGTCTGATTTAGAACAGACATATTAGCTCATCTAGTCCATATTATTGCCAGGACAGTGTTTCCTATGGTCAAGTTTTATCTTTTGGACATTATTGGTGGCAGCTGCCATGCTGGAGTAGAGAATTGTATAGTGAGTTATATCAACAGATTTTCTTCAGCTGTGACCCACTGAGGATGAGAGTCACATTTAATGGGAGGTTAAAAAGACTTAAATTAACTGTCTGCTTAGTTTAAATTGAAATGGCTAATTTTATCCACAGAATGTGTTCTGAATATTTTGAATTCTACATAATGAAGCCAAAAATGCAGCTGAGAAGTTTTGACAGTTTCAGCTATAACCATCTGTGGAGGTGTCCTCCTCCATGTCTGCAGATATCGGCAGGACCCCAAATAAACACACGCTGCTGAAAGAACTTTACGTTTTGTGTGCGCTTTCCAGGCATATTTGTAAGAAATGCATATAAAGAAGCATTTGAAACATTTGAGCTGTGAATTTGCAGATAATGAATGTTGTTCTGCTTTCTATTCCTATCCTAACCAGGAACACAGAACGTTCTCTACTAAATCGGGCAACTGGTCCCATGTTCTGCCTTTTATAATTGCTAATATTTGGTCATTCAGAGGAAGGTGGATTTCTCTGGCCTGTTCCATAAAGTGCCTAGCTGATGGTGTTATGCTGTACATATAAGAATAAAGAGAAATACATTTCTTTCCTGACCCAAGATTGAGGTCAGCTTGTGCCCGGAAGCATGAGGTGTAACTGTCCTTATTTAGGTCCCAATGAAGTATAGTAGCAAAACTCCTGCAGGCTTCAGGATTTGGGCCTTAAGTAGCAAAAATCTGAATTCCTAAGTTTTCACTGTCCATGGACTTTTGCTGCCTGTGAATATAGAACAGAAGGATGAGTGTTTGGCTTGTTTTATTGGCAACCACATTATTTCAAGGGCAAGAAAAGCTGGCTGTAGCCACTACTTGCTTGATTTGTTACAGAAAGACAATGAACTTGGCTTAGATTTACTTCAGTGCTTCTTGCTAAATCACCCTTGAGAAGTTTGCTCTCTGTGCTAAATTGTTTACTTTTGTTCTTTTCTTTCAAATCCTAAATAACAAACATGAAAGGTTTATTATTAAGCAAATGAATAAATACAACTCCTAGGGCAGCAAGTTGCTTTTCCTTCAAGAAATGTCTTGGATTAAATATTTACCAAACACAAAACAAATTGGGTACTCAGTTAAGATTGGAACAAATGATTGGTGTTCTGTTTACACACTTTGAAATCAGCCTGGGAAAAAAGTGGTAGACAGTCTCCTAAAGGTAGAAAAAAATAAGAATTTATTTTTTGAATTTAAATATACAGATTTCGATTATATTTTTCTAATTAAATAGACTCTTTATGCTTCAATACTTTGCTGAGATAATACAGCATATTATAGTATATAGAAAAATAGATATGCTAGCACACTTAATCATGCAAGATGACTTTTCTTGAATGCAAAGGTTGGTTCGGTATAGGATTTATTTGTACTGCACACTTATGTGAATTACTACATTTAATACAGCAACACAGATACACATTGTGCTCTCTACTCATGTAAAAGGGAATGCTCCTGCATCAGTACATGCTGTCCTGCCCACAGAGGAAGAACAAGAGGCAATGGGTTCAAATTACAGTGTAGCAGATTTAGATTAAATCTCAGGAAAAACTTCCTAACTGTAAGAACAGTAGGACAATGGAACAAACTGCCTAGGGAAGACATGGAAGCTACTTCACTGGAGGTTTTCAAAAAGAAGCTGGATAGCCATATGTCTTGGATGGTTTAGACTCAACAAATCCTGCATCTTGGCATGGGTTAGCCCAGGTGACCCTTGTGTCCCTTCTAACCCTATGTTTCTATGATTCTATGCAGTATAAGAGCTGAAGTTTACCTTGTTACTCACGTTGAGTAATGCTGCACTCCGATAAGTTAATGGGACGACTATAAGTAAGGTACTGCCCACCTTGAGTAAGGGGAGGGCAGAATCTAGCCCAGACGTGAATTAGAGCTTTTAGAGAGAGATGCTCAATAGTTACTTAAAAGATGACTAACTTACCTTCTCCCTGCTTATGTATGAAGCCTTTTCAGTAACATCAATATTTTATTGTCCAAATGTCTTGATGAGTGAAGGTGGTGTCTTATATTGGACTTAGAAGCGTATTTACATTAACAAGAGGGTTGTATATAAGACGTGAGGTAATTGTCCCACTCTACTTGGCACTGGTGATGCCTCAGCTGGAGTACTGTGTCTTTAGGAAAGATGTGGCTAAATTGGAGGGAGTCCAGAGGAGAGCAACAAAAATAGTGAAAAGTTTTAGAAAACCTGATCTATGAGGAAATGTTAAAAAAAAACTGGGCATGTTTAATCTTGAGAAAAGAAGACTGAGAAGGGGCTTGCTAATAGTCTTCAGATAAGTTAAGGGTTGGTATAAAGAGGATGATGATCAGTTGTTCTCCATGTCCACTGAAGGTGGGAGAAGTAGTAATGGGCTTAATCTGCAGCAAGGGAGATTTACGTTAGGTATTAGCAAAAACTTTCAAACTATAAGGGTATTTAAGCTCTGGAATAGTCTTCCAAGGAAGGTTGTGGAATCCCCAATCACTGAAGGTTTTTAAGAACAGATTGGACAAACACCAGTCACGGATGGTCTAGGTTTACTTGGTTTGCCTTGGCACAGGGGCCTGGACTGGATGACTTCTCGAGCTCCCTTCCAGCTCAACGTTTCTGTGATTTGTATTAGTGGCTGGGTGCTTTATATTGTGGACCTTTTAAGAAACTTCAGATGAATTACAAAAATGTTGGTAGAATTGCTGATGAAATGCTGTATTTGTATCTTAGAACTGTTTTTGAACAAACTATGAATGCAAAGAAGCAAAAGTTGGACCATATCTTACTAGTTTAGTAAGGGCCAGATTCTGTTATGTTCTGATGACTGATGCCTACTGCACAAGTAGTCCTATTGAAATCAACAGGTACTACTTCAATATGAACAGGTAAGGTACTTCTCTAATATGAGGGGTGGGTAGAATCTATCCAATATGACTTCAATAATCTATCCCATATGACTTCCTGGAAGCAACGGCAAACTGAATTCTTTGATGGTTCTGAGCTGGCTCTAAGTATTTTCTGAAAACTTCTTGGAGTTCAAATGAAATATGTATGTGTGTCTTGAGAACTGTTTGAGTTACTGTGAATCTGGTCAGGAAGACCATGTGGAGCTCAGGAAATTAAGAGCAGTTGTTTGATTAGTATCTTTAATAGAATACTACGTTTAATAGTACGTTTCTTTAAAAGGAAGTAGAAATAAGCCAAAACTGGAAAAAATTATTGGAACTTCCTGGGGGTGTGTGTGTGTGTGTGTCTGTCTACTGATTTAAAGTAGACCTAGATCGGGGTGCTGATTAAAATGGACCTGGTTGTAAAACAACTTGATTTTTGGGAAATCAGAATGACTCCATTTTTAAACATCATTTGTCTGTAACGTATGTATATTTTCTTTGAATTTGAGAACAAATGTAGTATACCTTCCATCAAATATCAAAGTAATTATATATACTTCCATGTGTGCTGTCAGGGCAACTATAAATGGCAATACAATCTCAGAAGTGATACTCATACAGCAGGGGATTCACAATTATGATGTACTCTTTTTTTGGCCCTCTTTTTAACTTTATACTAATCTGTGTTTTCTTTATTCATGTCAAACTAGACTTTGGGAATTAGCCATATTTGTAGCATTGTATCCCTGGAGAGTCCAATACTCATGTTATACTGTGGCTGATAATGGTGGCTCTAATCTTAGTTGGGTTCCATGATGAGATTTATTAGCTTATTTCTAAACAATGCAGTTGGTTGGGTCTGCATCAAGAGTCCTGAACTGATGCAGCATCACAGCATGAAAGGACAAGTTATGTTTCTGGAGTGTGTGACGCTCCAGATAGACATAAAACAGAGGTCTGAAGCACTGGCCAGGAAAGGTCCCATGGTATTTAGTGTAAGAGTAGGAGAAACATTTCATGTCTCCAAGTCAGTAAATTGTTTTGCCTATTGAAAACCCTTCAGTGGTTTAAAACGGTTATGGGGCATTCTTCACTGACCTGTGCTAAATAACTGCAGTGCTGAGTACTACTGGAACTACTTTTTACCCAAGAGGTGGCTGTGGTTTACTGGCAGGGAGATGTGATCTCTGCACATACGGATCAGTTGTAAAGCGCTTGGAGATGAAAGTCCCTATGGCTGTGGATTTTCAAAGGAATTTATGGGAATTGGGTTCTCAAATCCCATTGACTTTCTATGGAATTTAGATACCAAACTCCATTAGACTCCTTTGTAAATCCAGGTATTTAAGTGTTTTGGACAGCATGACAAAGAGGTGGAGTGAAATAATGGATGATCAGCTTTTAACAAATGAATTGCATGAGTGCCAGGTTCATCTTGGTGTGCCAGAATTGTTATCAAGTTTAATAGCTGTGATTTGAGGTTGTTAGGAATATTCCTATGTCTAAATATTGCATATTCGGATAAATGATTGTAATTCATTCTCTTTTAACAGAAAGAACGTGAACTTGGGGAAGAAGCTGGCAGGACAGGTCCATCTCAGCAGAGCAGTGGGAAAAATGAAGAGAGTGAAAGGAGGGAGATGATCACTCCAGGTCTTAGAGATGCACTTACAAAACAAGGTGAGGGTCCATAAAGATGGTGTGGAGACCAGATTCTGGATCAGGCTTCAAAAAGTTTGTGTATAGATTTTTATTAGAAAGGGTGCAATGTAAGGATTGCGAAGAAAGGATTGAGCTATTGTATGCCTTTTGTTTATGTTGGTTTCCATGATGCCTGCATAATAGATATGGGACAAACTTTTTGTAGGTGTCACCCTCCTGTTGCAAAGTTAGGACACCAGTGAGATTACTGAAACCAAGCAGTCCAGGCCTAAAATACTTAATAGGGCACAGCAGCTCTTGAAGTCATAAACAGTAGTATCTGATCAGGAATTTTGGAGTCTAGTGGGCACCAATCTTCTTCGTGAGCCGGTTTGTTAATGTTTTGGGGAGAAAACACCCTGGTGCATATCCAGCTCCCAAAAGAGAGGGCTTTTGAAGGGCATTTGAAAATTGGCCTCACTTCTAATATTTTAGTCCAGTACTTTTTTCTCAATTTCATACTCTGATTTTAGTGCTGAAATTCATTCAAATTAATCTGAATCGTCCACTGGAGGAAAACTAGATAATGACTTCTTTCAAGAACCATACAGAACAATGTTATTGGACTTAAGGCCATTATTTTAAAAAACATGTATGTGAGAATGCATGAAAAATGCCTGATTTACAGCCCTGCAGACCAAAAGCCTCAATCCCCAGAACAGGTACAGCTTGGGCAAGGGTAGCACAATGCTCCGCAATGTAGCTCAAGGGCATATGAGAGAGTAGTTTGATCTTCAGCTCTAAAGATGAGAGAGGAGTTAGTTTTCATGCCCATTCACACACTAGTTCCTCTCCTGAAGCTCCTGAAAAAGGGTGTTACAGATGTGTGACTTGACAGCTAGTCTGAGATAGTGAACTTGTTTCATGTAAGTCAAACAGCTGTGGCCTTTCTGTAACATTTTCAGTCACTGATGGTGTGTTCTAGCTTCTTCGACATGGTCACGTGAACGTGACCCAGCTCCATGTCCCAGCCATCCAGTCTTGTGCATATGCTTTTTTGTTTTGTTTTTTTGATTAAATTTAGAACAGATATAAAAGAAATGGGAAATGCATAAAACTCAGAATAAAATAATCTAGCAAAGGCTTCGTAAGAAATAAAGTTCTGCAAAACTTGGCTACTAACCTGTAGTGCCTCCACGTGGGTATCTGTCTTGCTACTTGCTGACACCTTTGGAAGCCTGAAGTGTCTCCAACACATCCGGGTTGCTCAAGTCTTTTTTGGTTTTGTTGCCAAAGGCCATACTTTTGGTGACAAGTGCAATGTAAACTGCTGCAAAGTAGTTGAATATGTGGTGCACTTTTGTGCCCCTGTGTAACTTTAAGGTCAAATCCTGTCCTAGCCTGTTGTCTTAGGAGCAGGGATGCTGGTAGATGCGTAGGGTGGAGAGGGAATCTGAAGTGGGATGGATGGCATGCAGTGCAGTAGCATCTATTGGAGATGATAGCATGTGCACTAGCTGCCTGGGAATTTGGGTTCTGGCTGTTCCCTGGGTTGGATGATTGACCCCGATGTGCTAGGCAGCATGGTAGCTGGTACCCTGCTAAGTGATCTGTGGAGTCCTAAGGAGGAATCTTGTTCTGCTACTGCACGAGCATGGTAGCTGGTACCCTGCTAAGTGATCTGTGGAGTCCTAAGGAGGAATCTTGTTCTGCTACTGCATGGACGTGAGGGGAGAGGCTTTTACTGTCTCTTTCAGTTGGTGAAACACTTTGATGATAGGAAGTAATTATAAATGCTGCTTATGGCCCTGGCCCTTTGACATGCTGGGGGCCATCAACTACCATGGGAGCTGAGGACGCTCAGCATCTTGGGGGATTGGGCCCCATGTTTGCATTGTAGTGCCCTGCCCAATTGTGAGTCTGCATTATGTCTTCCGGAAGAGTGAAGCAAAGTGACTGCAGTGATTCAGGCAGCTTCACCTTTCCAATTGCCTTTAATTTGCTTTGGTTTTGTGGCTCTGACGATATATCTATTTGGTGCAACATAAAAAATGTTCAGTTAGATGATCAAAATTGCACACAGAGCCCACTTTTCTTCAAATAAAGTTTTAAACACCAGAGCAGATCTGCCTGAGAAATTTTCATCATTTGAGACGTTCAGAGAAGAATTCACTTTCCTGTTGGCAGATTGCATTTTTTTTAGGTACACGTGTCATTTACTTTTTCTGCTTTCTGGAAAATGCCAGCAATCATAGCTGGATGAATAAACCTGCAGTCTCCAAAGAGTTAATTTTAGCATGCCCATTTCTGTTAAATTAAAACCTCTCAGTGAAACAGTTTCCCGCTGTGCACTGAGTACACTATATTCACAAAAACTAGTATCAGAGCATGCTGCTCTATAGGGGTTTAATTTGCCGCCTTTCTATTCAGATGTCAAAACAACATTCTTCCAGAGATCAGACTATAGAGACATATTTACAAGGTGGTTTAAAAAAAAAAAAAAAAAGTGCAGAGGATTCAAAAGACATATAATTTATTTAGCAGTTACTGGTTGCTATGGGTTAAACTTCACTTTCTTTTCAACGTTATCCCTGAAGGCATAATTAACTTGAGAGAGAGAGTCTTAGCAATGAATCTATTTCAAGTATTTGACTGTGGGTGTTATGTTTACAGTGATATTACTTTGCAGTGGTAATGTTATAGTAGATTTCATCTATTTAGGCAGACAGGAAATGAACTGAAAATAGAAATCAACCATTGATATTACTTTGTTTGCCAGAGCAAACAGTATGTACGTAGAGCTGAGACATAGCTTATATTCTAACTTCTTTAGTTGCTTATAGTTTTTCAAAACTGTTCCTTCTTGGCTGAAACCTGGTATGCTTGGTCTGAAGATGAATTTTTGTGTGTAGAAAAGCTTATCTCTCATGACTTCTAAGTGTTGGCGGCTGAATTCAGATGAGGAGGTAAACTTGTGTGGCTTTAGCTTTAGAGGCACCCTTAAATTATGGTTATGATCAGAAGAGAATGAATGTTTAAAGTAATCCATTCTGAATCAACACATCTGTTCCTTGTGTGTAATCCAGGTCAGGTCTGCTTATTTTACTAATGCAAAAAACATGATAAACTTTTACACTATCCTGCTAGCTTTACAAAATCAGCTGTGGCATAGGAAGCTGTATTCTGTTCTGGTTAATGAATTATTCATGGGATTTGAACTTTTCTGATTAGCAGACTACTTATTATCAGCGATAGACAAGTCAGAATGAACGCATCTTGACGTGCAGATCCCAGGGTGAGGGCTGGGAATTAAAAAAAAAAAAATCATAATTTGTCTAGTAAGCCGATTTGTCTCTAAGTGATTTTTTTGTATCCATAAACATGATCCCCCCACAGTGCCCATTTTGAAGTCTGTAGTGAGGACTGTAGCTACAGTCTTATGGTGCTTAAGAAGGGCACAGTAAAGAGGACCTTAAACCAGTGGGAATATAAATGCAAAAAAAAAAAGACTGAGAACCCAAGCAGGGAGAAACTCCAAATGAGACTCCTTCCGTGTCTCTGTTACCTTGGGGTAGGTCTACGTTTTAGTCATGGGATGTGATTGCAGCTTGTTTAGATCTACCTGAGCTATCTTCAGTCGAGCTAGCTTGGGGACTGGCGCAAAGAAGCTGTGGAACCATTGGCTTTAGTGTGGGCTAGCTGCCTGGGTAATTATCCATGTGTATTTCACACTGTGTGTGTGTGTGTGTGTGTGTGTATAATATATGCACACTGTGTGTATATATACAGTATATGTGTGTGTATATATATGTGTATATGTGTGTGTGTATATACTGTGTATTGCACAGTATATATTTAGTACAATGTGGCTGAGGTAATGTTACTTATATACTTACAAAGCAACCTGGGCCAAATTCTTCTGTTGGCTGGAAAGTCCAATGGAATTTGTTCTGTGTTTACACCAGCGTAAATGAGAGCAGAATTTTGAGCCTTAATAATGTCCAGAATGTCCTCACTTTCATGGGGCTTGCTTTCTCATCCTTTATGATGTTGCATTTAATTATAACCTTAATTTCCTGTTTGTTAGCTGAATGGTAATGGAAATGCCAAATGATTGGGAATATCCATTTCAATAGTATGTGTACTTTCTCTCATCCTGTTCTCTAATGTCAAAGAATCATCAGGTTATAGAAAATTGGTTATTTATTTAATGGGCCTTGGTAGAAGAGAAATCCAAGGGAAAGAAATAATAGAAGAGAACGCACTATCTGAAATAGCAGGGGCTATTTCAGTCCTGTAACGTCTTTGGTGCTCTCTCATCCCATTAGGATGTCAATGTAAAGTGCTTTGATCTAAGATTTTCAGTGTGTGTGGGATGTGCAGGTGTTGACGTCAGGAAGAGCTCAGGGTCCATTTTCCAAATGCTCAGCATGCACAGTTGAGGCCAGACTTTTAAAAGTACTCAGGAGCTCCCATTGTTGATTCGGATGGCCAGATTTTCAAAAGGGTCCAACACCCAATATTCTGGGCTCTGTTGAAAATCTGAACTTGATTATGGGTACTGAGCTCTTTTGAAATTTCTGGCTAAAGGCTAAATGTGCTGTGAATGTGATGCTGCATTCTGCATAGAAACTGTCACTGATAGGTTTAAGAAGCGTGATGTACCCCTGTGTGGGTTGCATACTTAAAGTTATATTTTCATCTTTCAGGCTTGGGGATGATACCCAAGTCTGAAATCCCTGTGTAAATCCCTGTGCATCAAGAGGAAAATAAAGCCCTTGAACTCCAGGGAGTGCTAGCAGTCTTCTGGCTGGATTATGTATTGGTAACAATAGCGCAGCTACTAAAATGTATGCTATAGATAGAACAACAGAATTCAGATGTTTGTTGTGGAAATATTAACCATGAGTTGTGAAAACATAAAATAAAATTATTCTCACTCAAGTGCCTGTATGCAGAAGAATGCAGTGGTTTTAGATGACGAGGCTCTAAATGTGCTAAATTTACTTAGAGAATTTGTGTATCTGTAAATAAATATG